GATTGGCTCTCATTTCTTGTTGAGTTTTTTGAGACAGGAAATGAAGGAAAATCTCCCCGTTAGGACACAGGACCACTATAGATATACTTTAAACGCTCAAAGGAAGCTTGGCATGTGAGAGATACAGGGGATGTCTCTACTGGAACTACCTTTTGAACATGTTGGTTGCCTAAGCGTTTTTGACTACAGACTCAAAATAAGAATGCAGCAAGTGATATTAGATCTTCTGATCTGCGTGTTTGGGGTGGTGACTCAAAAAGTTTGGAAGCTTATCGGGTGAGTGCAACAACCAAGCAACTCACATTTTGCAGAAGGAGAGGTTGTCAGGGTTAGTCTACATATGAGTCAAGACAAACTTAATTTAAAGCCCATTTGTACCCAAAAAATTGTTTCATTTTAAGGCCGTTTACAACTGGTGAAATTGTTCAAGCTTCCCACATGAATAGATGACCCCACTGCTGAGGTTTCTGTCCCCAAATTCTTATTTCAGCCCTGCAGCCATGGCTTGTGCAAAGTCAGTTGATGGTGTCACACTCGACGATAGATTTTGTGTAATGCAAAAAAGGTAGAGTTGAGCTGTGAGTGACACTTTTGTTGGTCTTTTGGGTGGGAGAGACAAACTACTGGAGGGAGATTCTGCCCTTGGAACCCCCAGAAGAGATGTGAACATCATGGCAGGTGGTTACAATAGTAACATCAGGCTATTGTACAAAAGATCTACTTCTGTTTTAAGGTGAAATTAAACATGTTGTGAGCTGAACAAGAGATATCTATACATGTACGACTAGTCTGTCTTTTCTTGTAATAAGCAACCATGCACCCAAGGCATCCCTTTTTAGATGTGCAATCGTTTACCAAAGCTAGAGTTCCAGTGCCAGGGATGCCATAATCTAGGCAACGGGCTTGAATGATATCCCAAAATCTATGGCAGACTTCTGGGAGAGAAGCACTATAGCACTTGCATGAGAAGGGCTCTGAGATGCCTTCAAAATGCTTTACAATATTATTGCTGAATGTCGGTTGAAATGAAAAGATAATTCTTGATTATATTGAATCAAAAAGCATTTTTACTGGGAAACTGTACATGGAGGGGTAAAACAATCCCCTCATGGTGAACTGTATATGCTGTAAGGATTTTTACCTGCTTCTATTCTCTACATATTGATGTAGGCGTTACCTGTACCTTCTGAGCAGTGGATGGGTTGCCTTGTAGTGTATAATGCTATGTTCAGTCTTGGTGTTTAAAAAAAAAAAAGAACATTTGAAGCCTTGATATACCCTTAATGGGTGTAAGAATCTTAGAAGGTATGTCGCCAAAGATGAAAGGCCTATCACAGGGGATGTCTGTCATTTAGCTTCAAGCATTTTTGCAGACTTATTTGAAAAACTGTGAACCAGACCTTTTGAGCAATGTTATGGGAATTCTTGGATGGGTTTGCTATGGTTGCAGAAAATTTAAATGTTCCATTTTTTTTTTACCCTGTATTAAAAATAAATTTAAAGTGCGTGGGTGCGTGTTTCTTTGTAAGATATATTGCAGAGTATTCTGTTCATAAATACCATCTAGAATCCCCCCAGACAGAGTAGAAATGCATCTGTAGAGTGTTCTCATCCTTTAGACCTGAGACAATCCAATTTTGTCTTTATAATGGGAGCATTTGTTATAATTGAAAGCTCACAAATGGATGATATGTCTGCTGAGCTCACAAAGCAGGAGGACATACAATGTAAAGCGATTAAGTTGAACTATGAAATGGGAGAATCTTTTAGGATGTCCTCACTGTGCAGCACAATGGAGCCATACGTTACATGTGGAAGAATACATGAAAGTGCTTATCTACCATCTGGGTCGCTAAGTGAGCACTTTCTATTTTGAGGATTTTAAAGGTGTTGTGCAATGGTTTATATATTCCAGTTAGAATAGTTGAGGCTAAAAAATAAAATTGACTTTTTTTTTTTGTACAGGTAAATATGAACTGCTGCTTATGACTATTTTGTGTTTTCATATACAGCCAGCAGGTGGAGCTTTCAAATCAGATTCACAATATTTCTAGGTCTCCTAATCTGCATTGTTGGGGGGAAAAAAAGCTTGTTTTCAAAGCTCAATAGCTCAGGCTGAAATGCATGGCCATTACTACTAAATGAGTAAAAGTAGTGACTCCTACACATGCTTTCCTCCTCCAGAATGGCTCCCTTCTAGGTTTCGGGAATGGACAGGTAATTTTGCTAACAGCTGTGCTCTTTAGAAAACCTACATTGCTTTTGGAATCCTTTTTGTCATGTAATGCATGCTTGTAAAATTTTTAGTTTCAAAATGACTTTCCCCTAAATAGCGTAACATCTTATCAAACCCTCCAGAGTTCAACCCAAGTCGTCATTTTAGGGGGATTTACCCAAAATCACATTACATCACATTATTTTCCAAGCTAAAACATGTTCATATATCGGCATAGTTAGTGCACAACATTCTCTAGTGTTTCTAGCGCATTTTACTCAAATGAGTGTGACTTTTGCTGATTGGAAAGCTCTGTCTGCAAAGAGACGCCTGCTTCTACACAGAGAGCATGGGTGAGACACCATGCTGGAGAGGCTTTGACGCAAACAAACTGTAAGGGCTTATTCACACCATGTCTGTTGAGTTGCCTTTTCCTGCACAAAACTGTATATGTATGGTGAGAAATCTATTGCTTTCTATTAGGGATTCACCGATGCCATTTTTTCCTGCCAGATTACTGATACTTTTCCTGAAGCACTCGCCGATGCCTTTTTTTCCCCGTTTTTCTAAAACAGACTAATGATTTTAGGACAGTGGTGGAGCGCCAGGGCCCAGTCACAGCTGAGACTTCTGCACCCCTGGTTTTCTGCCACTGACCCCAAGATGTAGAAGGACTTCAAATCTCAGCATTACATTATACAGGAATGTAGAATACCAGTAGCTATAGAGGATTACAAATCCCAGCGATACATTATACAGCAATACCGCCTGCAACCAACTATAGAGGGCTGTGCGGGGTCCCAGGTGGGCTCTGTGGTGGGCTGTGCGGCTTCTTTTGATTTGAATATGGGCAGCACTGGGGTTGATCAGCACATTATCTGCTTTAAAGGACAATATTACTTTTAAATATATGAAGCCTATCATTTATCCCCTCCTTATCCTTCTAGAGACGCACGCACGCACGCACGCACGCACACGCTGAGGCATACACTGGATTGTACAAATGTGGCCTTTTTCTCCATAGGTTCTTAAGAATAAGATGTCTACTTGTTAGCCTTCAGAAAATGTCTTATCCATTGGGACCTGCTCAGCCCTACGCCTTTGGCCTTATCCCTTTGGCAGTACTGGTCCTCTACCAAGGACATGCCTCCATTAGTAAATTTGAAATCTATGTAAAGCGACGCTAATGACATTACTGTTGAGAAGTGCATTCGTCAAATTTCTGCTAATGACAGACCATTTCCTGGTCAAGATGCTAAGTGCAGCTCTGTACACTGTTCTGTCCTATCGCGTGCATTTGCTGTTGTGCATCAGTTTGATTCCCCACTATTCAATAAAATCCTGGAGACTATCCCTCTAAATGCAACGCCAGAGTAGGTTGTTTGCTGGAAACACCATAGTGATGGACAGGTGGGGGTATGGGTATGCATATTTGGGGAGAAAATAATATCAATATATAATATAAATGTAATCTGTATGGTTCCCATCTGCTTCACACAGCTGTCTTGTGGAACAGATGCAGTAGGCATAGGAATATGGGCATTGTGGCTAAGTGGTAGCACTAGGGTCCCGTCTCTGTGCATTTAATGCGCGTCCATGAATTTTAAAACATGCCAGAACTTCCAAGTATGGTACTAGACACTGATGGATCTTTCAAAGGGCAAGCAACAGAAGTTCATACTGGTTGGCGAACGTGTCCTGTGCACTGGGAAATCCCTCTCCTAGGTACATACTATATACAGGCCTTTAGGCCCCATTCACAACGGGACGATTTGGCCGTGCGGATCCGACGACATGAACGTTCCTATACATTGCTATGGGGACCGTTCATGTGACCACGTGGCTCAACACGATCGGAACCTCCCCCTGCCCGAACTGCTCCCTGACTCTTTTTTGCCGTGCTGATCAGTGTGGTTTAAATACAGCTTTCAATGGAACAGCGCTGATCAGCGTGGTTTGGGGCGTTTTTAATTGCGTTTCAGCGCTGAAACGCAATTAAAACCTCCCTTTTGAAATTGTTGCGGAAACCGCTCTGATCCGCAGCCGCCCTGGTGTGAGTGGGCTCCCAAGCTACCCTGCTGGGCACACCAGCATTTTGTGGTTACCTTAACAAGCAGTGTAGCCAACTTCTGCAGCAACTCTGTATTCAGACACAAATTACCAGAGTAAAGTAGAAACATTTATCGTCGCTACAAATCTCTGCTGCAAAGTTGCTTGAGTGACATAACCCTCAGAGTAAATAATTGGTATGTCTGTATCAGAGCTGAACAAATCCCGGCAGCCAGGTCGCCAATGCTTCCTAAAAATTACATCCGGCACATAACTTTTGTGGTTTTCTCTAGTTGATGTAAAAGGAGCTGGCTCATGGATTGGACGGACTAGCTCCTGAATTCCATATGGATTTGTCTACCTCTGGTCAACATTAAGAAGATAAATTCAATTTGACTGTATATATGAAAGATTTACTTTGTATCCTCTCATTTAATCCCTTTAATTTTGTCGTCGTACTTTCAGCTGTTGGAGGGTGAATTTCTTGATAAGTATTCCCACATTTTATTACTTTTCTTTAACAGTTCTATCAATGTTGGTTCCCTGCTTGGCTAATACAGTACTGTAATTCAGAACACAGCCTGCTAAGTGTTGGAGGGGAAATAAGTGCGCTCACCTGTTCTATTCTTTAAACCCTAATTATTTCACGAATAGCAGGTGGCCTTTTTAAAGTCTTTATTACTAGCATTTCTCTTAGCAGTACCAAGCTAATGGCGGGATTTTCTTGTGATTGCAGTTGTTGAATGGGGTGACAACGTCCACACGATCACAGAAGACGAAGCCGTCATGCTGGTGAACCATCAAGCGACAGGAGACGTGTGCACGTTAATGATGTGCTTACAGGACAAAGGCCGGGTATGGTGTCTCTTTATGGAAAGTGACAGTCACTTTCCCTGTGCTGTTCCTTTCTAATCGGTGCGAATCAATCTGCAGTTCAGTGTACTTGCATAAAGAGTTATTAATGAAGAGCCAACATCCCTCATAGACCACTCTGAGTAATTCATTGTGGTGGGTCTGTGTAGTTTATCTGTTTTGTAATTCTTTTTTTAACCTCTTGGGTGGTGCTGGGATTTAAAGCTAGATTTTCGAGCACGAAAAAACTTTTTCAGATATATCCATAATAGCCACAATGGATATAAATGCATTTTGTGTGCACTAAATGCCTTTCCAAACCCAGTGATTATGTTGAAGACCTAGTGGTGCCATCATCACTGGCCTTACATGGCCTTTGCAGAGAGCAGACGTAGCAGGCCCTACCCATTACAGGCTGCTTGCATAACACTAAGTGAAGGGGTGAATGGGCTGTGATACAGTGGGGGGGTTGGTGAGTTACTTGGGAATCCACACTTAAAACTCACAACTGGTGTCCATGACAGATATAAGAACGCAGTGAGCACTTCTTCTCCTGCAATATGAATTTTGTTTAGGATGACCCTTTAAATTGGTTTCACATTTCTGCATGCCTTTCATAAATACCAGCAGGACCCTCGTCCTTGTAAAGCAGTTTGTCCTTGCTTTTATTTTTAGCTCTCCCTCAAATGTAAATAATTGCATTAGAGTGTGACCCTATGTCCCTCTGTCAATTAGCGGCTCTACTAGAAAATATTGAGCAATGCTTCATGGCACCAGAACTGGTGACTTCCATCCAGCAAGGCCGAGTCATGTACGTAGGATTTCAGCCAGTGCCTCCTAACACCTGATGGTTTCTCTGAATATTAAATAGTAGCTGTGAATTAAGAGCTGCTTGAATAGAATTAATAAATGTGAAAGAAGTTATTTGTTTGGTTTCCTAGTTGCTTCTTGCCTTGACACCATTCATGAGCAAAATATGAGGCTGCCATTGCTGGCCATGTTCTGTGTGACATTGCGGAAGACTTATTGCCCTTCTAGCAACCAGTCAACATAATTTACATGGCCCTAGCTACAGTAAAGAAGCTGATTGTTTGCTTGGAATGAAGTAGAGCGTGTATGTACATTCTGATGTATAGACACTTATAAGGGCCAATTATTTACATTTTCCCTTTTCAGAGGTTCCCAATGATCTCTGGTAGAGTTGAGATCAGGCGGCTGAATGAAAAGTCACACATGCTGCTATTGTAGATTTCTAGGACTTTATGACCTCCCTTGGCTGTCATATATGCTTCATAGCCCTGCTGCAAAATGATCCACCTCCAACATATCATTTAAGGGCCCATTCACACCACAACAATCCATTGTGCATTTAATGCACATGAAGTATCATGGTGTGAATAGGCTCCAAAGGCAAACTTGTCCTGAGAAAAATCTTGAAATGCTCTTACTGTCTTCCTTCTGAAGATTGTGTCCAAAACTAAAAAAAAAAAAAAGTTTTTGGCTTTGCATACAGAGAGAAAAGAGAATCTGAACTTCTGTTGGGTTCTTACTGGTATCTGGGGCTTTCTTAGAGAGATTTACCCTCACTTCCTGCCCTGCTAACCACAGTTTCACCACAGAGGAAGTAAAAGAAAATATGCAACAGTGTCACAAACAGAAATACTGATTTGACAGGGGTTCTAGCCTTCCCCTTCTCTGCTAAAGAAAAAAATCTGTGTTGCTGTTGGAGTATTCCGTTCACCTTCTGTCTAGTAAAATGTTTTCGGAAGGCCAAGAAGTGAGGGTGAATCTCTCCAGTGGAGCCCTGGATTGGAGTAAAAACCTGATCGGTTCTACCCCACGATATCCAAAACTAGAAAATAATTTTTCCCTCAACATACACTTAAAAGTGGTCGCCTTCATTACTTTTAATCACTGATCAGTAACAAATGAGCATATTTGGACTTCCCACGATCATAGGTGGCAGTGAGCGAGAGATTTCAGTGCTGCTTCATTCAACATGCATAAAGCTCACCAAATCCATGTCCACTTTACGCTGGCAGTATTGTCAGACAGCAAGCACTGCTTGTATACAGACGCCATTCTATTAGATCCATGAACTGTGGTCAGTGCCTCGTTGCTCTGCAGCAAAGGACATAATAAGACAAAATGAAAACAAACACATGCCACAATATCATGGGAGCATTGGGGAGATTTGGCTCTAGGATTTGTTGAAGCATGGCAGTGGACCTCACGTATCTTAAGTGTCAGTGCTAGAAATTGTCATTATTGCCCTCCAGACACACAGATGGCAATTGGACTCTGAAAGTTGAAAGGAATGCAGTTTTATGTGATCAGATTCCCTTTACCAGAACATCCACATATGCTTGCTTCAATAGTTTATCCTGGACTAGAACACTTGTCTAATATACATTAATTATTGTATCATTGCAGGTGGTTCAGCAGATGATGTGGCTTATGGACCATATATTTAAATATACCAATTTTGGTATCGTGTCCCTTGTACATGGAGACTTTTTTATCCGACAGGTAAGCCAGGATTTGTGACCTGAGGTTTTGTGTTGAAAATGAATGAAAATGAAAACACAATTGGAACGGTTAGAAAGGACACTGTCACCTAGTCCATGCAGGGTGATGTCGCCTAGTCCATGCATCAACCTTGCCTGCTCTCCATCGCTCTTGTGCAGCCAGCACAGAAATCAGCGGAGTCTGAGACCGTCACTCTTTCAATTATATGACAGTGGTTGACCTAGGTCCTGCGCACAGTAACGGGAGGAGATCACATGCTCCCTTACGCTCGGGAACAAGGCTATGACAGAGAAAGGATTGGAAAACTTTCAGGCTTCGATTGCTCTTGTGACTATTGGATTGCAGTTAAAACCGCACAGAGGTTCTTACCTAAAGTATGCTCAGAAACCATGCTTTGCATATGCCTTACTTTGAATTTTGTGTCCAAGTACGCGTTGAACACGATCTGTCCTAACAAATGGTTAAAGAACAGGGCTAGAAATGGATCTAGAACAGGGCTAGAATTAAAATTCATGAGGTCTGATGATTGCAGAGGTCTGAATCTCAGTCCATGTCCATAGCACAGTCCACCATTTTAGTCTTCGTTCACACCAGCAGCTGCAGTACAACGCTTGGCTGCTGGTGAGCGTTCCCCAGCAAAGTGCTGATCCTGGTGAATCGCACTGTTTATTTGTTTTTGTTAGAATTTTATTGAAATGTCACGAGTCACATTTCATGAAGATCTATGGGTGCAGTGCGATGTAGTTGCCCCCTTTCTTTCGTAATTAATGTAAGGGGGCACACTGATGGGGACAGCCAATATAAGGGGGCTCTCTGATGATCACAACCAATGTTGGTAACCAACTAATAGTTGTCACCATCAGAGTGTCCCCTTTCGTGTGCCCTTTTATATTGTCCCTACGTACCTGCTTTAATTGGTAGACCTGGGTTGGGACCCGGGAGAAGGAGCAAGTTGCAGTAGAGGATGGAAGAACATATACTTTTCCATCCTTCTCTAATGCTGGGGGTGGGGGAACTTCGACGTTACTGGTTGCTTTTGGCTGCCTGGCGGTCTTCGCAACCATCGACTGAAGTGCAGGGGGCTGCACTGGGGCTTGGCTGGCGGTGGGTACACTGGTACTCCTAGGCCGGTGTATCCACTGTCAGCCAGCCATAACCCGGTGCAGGTTGGTGATCGCAGAACCACCACTTGGTCCATGTCTGGACTGCAGTTTGCCATCTAGGGATGCCTTATCTAAAAGCATTGTATCTTAATGAACGGGATCTTACAGTTTCCCTGCTCTTTCTATGGGGATGGCCATTATTTCCTGTCCCTTTTTAGAAAATTGTACAGGGAAGCTCCAAAGGCTTGCTGCTACGCAGGGACGTCCAAAAAGTAAAAATATTTTAAAAGAATATTTTGAGGTATGCTGCTTTAATAGAAACACATGACAAACAAAGTGGAGGGTTCTCAGATTTGACCAAAAAAAAAGCCCTTAATGTGAGGGGGTTTTTTTTCTCCCCAGTACCTGAATTTGTCATTTCCTTACAGTTCCCTGTACAACAGAGCTAAGACTAGGGAAGAAAGAAGCAGCAAAAGGAGCCTATTGGTTGTGCTGTAGTGCAAGGAACATGCTGATTGGAGGAGAAAGCAGAATGACAGATAAGCTTATCAATCAGCTGCTTCTCCCGTCTGTGGGGGTGGGTAGTGGACATGTAAGTGTTAATAAACTGCAGCAGCATAAAATGAGGTCTCTTGTTCTGGCAGAGCTGTGTATTTATCGGAACCGGCTAGACAGAAATACAAATCCTTTGGCAGGTAAATCAGCTCCTGTGAATGTTTTTTCACCTTTTTGTATGTAGTGGTTTTATCTGGATTTCAGCTTAAAAAAAGCTGGTGTTATCTTACAGAACCAAGGGAGTGTCTTGGAGAAATGGAGGAGATAATGTATTCAGCGTCCATTCTAACTTCTTGGAGAGCATTTTTCCTCTTTTGTTTGGAGCAGAAGTATAGAACCAGAGTCCAAGTTCTCCTCTTTTGGTAATGCTTTTTAGCTTTATCTAAACTTCTCACATGAAGTCTTCTCTAGCAATCCATTGAACGGGACACTCTTTTCTTACATCCTCGGCCAAGAGCAGGGATCTGGAAAGTGTCTGACAAAGGAAAAAAACAACACATTTTGACCCAGTTAGTAAAAATTAAACTCGTCCTTCAAAAACAACAAAATCTTATTTATCTCCCAGTCCACCCAGAAATGATTAGCAAACATGGCTATTTTCAAGGTTGTTACTAGCTTTTAGGTCAGTAATTAGTGTAGCAATCCTAATATTCCCTATGCATTTTATGCTTGAAGAAGTAAATGTATTAATTATGCAAAAATCCCACAGGCCTCGTGCTGGGAGGCGGGAGTAGCTGCACAGTGGCTTATGGGGGAGTCGTATCTTAGAAAGGGAAGGGAAACTGTCAGGATGGCTGTGAGGCTGGTCATAGATGAAATCATTTTTTTGACCCTATTTAGATTCGGCCAACTTTCACAAAGATGTATAAAGTTTTGTGCAAAAACAACTGAAAAATGCCACTCAATTTTGTGAGAGATCAAGAAAACCGAATGGAAAAATTGGTAGATGTCGGAGAGTTAAGCCGCCCGACGATTTCTTCTATCTCTTGGGGAATTTATTTGTGAGATCTGTGCGCTGAGTTTCCAGATCTGCATGCTTGATATGGCCATTGTGAGGGGTTTGCACTTTCCCTGCTGGATGTTAATATATATTCTACTTTTGAGAATACAACAGGGGGAGACGGCATACAGAAGTGAGTGGGGCCACATAAAGGTCACAGTGGACAGGAACAGAATTGGGAATTATGGAAGAGTGAGTGTAATGTTGAAGAATCCTACACGTAGAAGCTGTGTAGCCAAACGTTCGTGGACATCTGACCGTCACACCGTTATACCTTAAACCGTCCATCCCAATTCCCACTCCCATTTGGTGCTCCGCTCTTTCAGGAAGGCTTTCCATAAGAATTTGGAACGTGTCTGTGGGAATTTGTGCCCATTCAGCAAAAAGGGCATTTGTGAGGTCAGATACTGATAGATGATACGACCTGGCTTGCAATTAGCTGTCATATTTATCCAAAAGGTTTGCAGGAGGGTTGATGCCCTGTGCATGCCACTCAAGTTCCTCCACATCAAGCTCCTCAAACCATGTCTTTAGGTAGCTGGCTTTGTGTACAGGGACGCCGTCATCCTGGAACAGATCAGGGCCTTGTTGCTAGGCTGGAAGCGCATCATTGTCTAAAATGTCTTTGTATGCTGTAGCATTAACTGTACACTTCAATAGAACTCCATTTGAAGGGGTGTCCTCATACTTTGTCGTATAGTGTAGGTGTGATGGTTACGTCCCCACAAACGTCTGACCATTGGAGATAAACTAGAGAATAGAGAGCATGCAAGTGCCTTATCTTCTCTCTAGTGGAGGGGAGGAGCAGAATAGGAAAGAGCTTTTTTACAAAGTACAGGTTGGCTTCTCTCAGTAGACCAATTCAGCTCTCTTATGTATCATCTGTTTCCTTCTAGGGTAAAGCTTACCGGGACCAGCAGCTGATCTTCCTCAAGGACCACCTTGAGAGGTACTACAGGAGTCGAGATAGAAAGTGGATCATTTTATTCCCAGAGGGAGGCTTTCTCAGGAAAAGAAGGGAAACAAGCCAGCTGTACGCCAAGAAGAATAACCTGCCATTTCTCACGCATGTCACCCTGCCGAGATTGGGAGCTACGCACGTTATTTTGAAGACGTTGCTGGCACAGCAAGAGAACGGGACGTTGACAGGAGGGCATTCTCCAGTAGTCGGTAAGGTTTAAAGCTTGGTAAACGGATTTCTCATTTCTAACTATAATTGTGATCATATACACAGCAATTTATCAGTTCCAACCGCGTTCAAACAGCTTTTTATCAAAAACTTGATTGAACAAATCAGAAAACATTAGTTTAGGGTTAGTTCACACCAGTCTGTATGCTATGGCGCACATAACACGCTTGCGCTGGTATGTGTTACTAGTACGGATATCCCATTGCATCCAGCCAAGGATTAAAAGACTACTCTGTGTATTAAATATCTGGAGTTATTCTAACCACGCTGTCCTCCATGCAAAATAGGTTTGTCCACTCATGAAAGGAGCCGGGCAAATTTTGGTCTAAAGGTCTCTTGTAGGCATCAGATTGCCATTTACTTCTGTGATTGGCTCTAAGGCTACTCTGGGAATTCTCTCTGCAGTTTCTTTTCAGATTTTTTTGTACCCGTGCACACTGACTTTACACTAAAGCCATGTGCTGTATAAACTCCTTGGACACAAGGCATTGGAATCATTGGTACCTACATAACAACACTATATACAAACCGGTCAACTTTTTCTAAAGGTTTCAAACTAAAAACCTTGTCTAGGGGCTCACTGTATCACAACTTCTACTTGCTGAGAGGGGCCCTGTATACCTGACCTTGCCCTATCCTGTTGCTTTTATTGGTTGCTGATACTGGGATAGTGGGTGGGGTGTATTCCTTGATTCAGAAGAAAAGCTCCTATAGTAAGGGTGCACCATAGGACACCCAGGAGAGGGTTTCCTGTCACTTTGTGGTACCTGGCCATAGGCAGCACAGTAAGTTTTCCATGTACATTTTTATTTTTTATCACATACTTATGCTTTTATACTCTGGATTTTTCGTCACTTTAGAGGGCTGACATATTTCCGTGTCTGAGCTTTTCTTCAGCGCTACATGAAGAACACAGAGGTCACTTGCAGTGTTCTGTCTGAAATACCTGAGCCGAGAACACACAGCAAAGTCTTTATAAGATTACCACATGATCAGGCACAGCTGCTCCAGCTTGGCCAGGAATTTTATATCCTAATGCTATTGCCTGCCAGTAATAGCCTGTTGGGTTAACACAATTTTTTCCATAATCTCTGCGAGTAAAAGTGTCTGTACATATCCCACACTAATATAGAATGGAACGTTTTTTTTATTGGAATCATTAGAGCCTTTATTGATCTGTTCTAGGGCTGTACTGACTGCACAGCACCTGGGACTGGACTGCTGACGTCTCCCATATACCCTGTGCTACCAGCCAATGACCATCATTACCAAGATGTTGATATGCAGAGCTTGCTTTTTCCTGCTCGTGCTTTACAGAAAGGCTGTGTGCTCAAAAGAAGAAAAAAAAAAAAAGGGATTTCAGGACTAATGGGCATAATAAAATGTATCTGAAAAATATTGCAGCTTTGGAAGTAGACAAGTCCCTGTGGCCATGATCACAATGGCTGTTTCAAAGTAGTGTACAAATAACAGGCTCAGACAAATCTGTACTGTCCCATATATTCCCTCAATCTCACGGTACTGACCCCTATGTTCACTCAGTCTAGTCATCTGGTGGTCACCGAATAGCATTAAATGAGGAAATACTGTTTCGGTTGTCGAAAATGTAGTAAAAAAAAAAACTGCATATTAAATACTCAAATACCTGGTTACTTGGGAGCCTTTTTTTCCCTGGCAAGATTACACACACACCTATATTATATGGACAAAAATGTGTGGATACCTGACCATTCCAGTTTCTTACATATGAGCTTATTGGACTTCAACAGCCTCTTCTGAGAAAGCTTGCTTTCTGCAATATTATAGAGTGTCTTCTGCAATATTATAGAGTGTCTGTGGGCATTTGTGCCCATTCAGACAAAAGATAATTTGTGTGGTTAGGTCTTGGTCCTGCATGACATTACTTGGCTCACAGTTGGTGTTGTGGTGCATCACAAAGGTGTTCAGTAGGGTTGAGGTCAGAGCTCAAGTTCCTCCACACTAAACCCCAAAAGCTTTGTCTTGCAGTTAGCTTTGTGAACAGCAGTGCTTGAACAGAACAGGACCGGTTACGACAAGGCTTGCAGCGCACAATCCTCAAAATTGTTTGTTTGCTATAGCATTAATAGAACCCTTTGCTAGAAACATTTGAACTTGATAGTTAGCAGAACATTAGCAGCTATAGAGGAACACCAAATCCCAGCAATAATACATTAAACACCCTGTACACTGTATTATTGCTGGGATTTGTTGTTCCTCTATAGCTGCTGGTATTCATCAGTGTGCCGGTGTATTATACGTTGGTATTCTGTAGATCTGCAACAATTATTAAATTAAGTTGATTAAAATCGATGATGGAAAACGTTGTCAGCGTTTTCCATCGTCGATTCGTCGGCTAAAATTTAAATTTCCCGCGTACCTGGCCACCGCTCAACCCGGACACACGCCCGCAGAGCACGCCGCCGCCGCTGCAACGACTTACAAGGGTTCAGAAACAGGTAAGGGGGACCTGTTTTAATGTTTCCTGTTTAAAAAAAAAAAGCGGCACACTGTAGAACACCAACAGCTATAGAGGAACAACAAATCCCAGCAATAATACATTAAACAGCCTGTATATTATATTATTGCTGGGATTTGTTGTTCCTCTATAGCTAGTGGTATTCTCCATTGCGCTGTATAATGTATTATTGCTGGGATTTGTTGTTCCTCTATAGCTGGTGGTATTCTCCATTGCGCTGTATACTGTATTATTGCTGGGATTTGTTGTTCCTCTATAGCTGGTGGTATTCTCTATTGCGCTGTATAATGTATTATTGCTGGGATTTGTAGTTCCTCTATAACTAGTCAGTGGTAATCTGCATTGCGCAGTATAATAATTATACAGCACAATGGAGAATACCACCAGCTATAGAGGACTACAAATCCCAGCAATAATACATTATATACAACGCCATGCAGAATACCAGCAGTTACAGAGGAATACAAATCCCAGCAATAGTACATTATAGTATAGTATAATGTATATAATACAGTATATAGTATAGTATAATGTACTATTGCTGGCATTGTATTCCTATATAGTTTCTGGTATTCTGCATTTCGCCGTATAACCATTATACAGCGCACTGCAGAATACCACCAGCTATTGAGGACTACAAATCCCAGCAATAATACACTATATACAACGCAATGCAGAATGCCATCTATAGAGGAATACATCAGATCCCAGCAATAGTACATTATAGCATAATGTACTATTGCTAGATTCCTCTATAGCTGCTGGTATTCTGCACTGCGCCGCTGTATAATGTACTATATTGCACACCACACTCTTTTTTTTTTTTTACTTCCACCGCGCCAAGCTTGCTCCCTTGGTGGACTACAATCTTAATAGAAACTAGTAGTCCATTACTGGAGCCTTTTTAAAAAAATCAAATTAACCGATTAATCGAACTTAATAATCGGCTAACTAATCGATTATGAAAATAATCGTTAGCTGCAGCCCTAAAATTAACCTAGTTGGGTATAAGGCAACAGCCAGAGACCCAAACCATAAATGTGGCATTTGTTAGTAGGATGCTGAAGGAGATGAGATGAGGGCTGGAGGGTCAAAGAGATGTATTATTTACATCTAATGCTAAAAGATATTGGAGGGAATTTATCAAAACTGGAGCAGTCGCCCATGGCAACCAATCAGCATCCCTCTTCAGTTTGCTCAGGTAAGATTTGAAAATGAGACAGAGAAGCTGATTGGTTGCAGTGCAAATCTGCTCCAGATTTGATTAATTCCCCTCATTGTGTTTGTATAGATTAGGGAAGATTTAAAGCCCTTGTCAGGTTTTATTACTGTCCGTGTCCCTATTGGAAAGATTTCCCATCACTACCTGTCCTAACATGAAATAATGGTAAATCTCCCCTGCAAGGACACAAACAAAACATTTTTAGCAGAGTGAGGATCAAAATGTAAGAATGTGTTTTCAGAAATAAGTGTTGGGGTTAGTTCACACCATAGACAGTGCGTTCCGGTGCGATTCTGGCTGGAACGCCCTGCATCTCATTGCGGCCGCCTCACTTTTTTGCCGGGCTGGAGGGGGGAGTGGTGGGCCATTGAAGTGAATGGCACCGTAGCCACGACCTCCGGCCGCAATGCGATTGCCCGCGCGGGATCGCAAGGCAGTGCGGTCCGGTGCGATCAAAATAGTGCATCGGGCGCCCTCCAGCCAAGCAAAAAAGTGAGCCAGCCGCATTGCGATCCAGTGCATTACGGCCAGAAGCGGACCGGAACGCGCTGCCTATGGTGTGAACTAAACCTTATAGTTTATTTTTATCAATTAACAAAATGGAAAGTAAATGAACAGAAGAGAGATCCAAATCAATATTTGGCGTGACCACCCTTTGTACCTAGAAGAATTAACGCTGTTTTGAAGACACGTGCACACAGTTTTTGAAGGAACTTGGCAGGTAGGTTGTTCCTAACATCTTGGAGAACTAAGCACAGATCTTCTGTGGATGTCGGCTGCCTCAAATCCTTCTGTCTCGTCATGTAATCCCAGACAGACTTGATGTTGAGTTCGGGGCTCTGTGGGTGCCAAACCATCACTTCTAGCACTCCTTGTTCTTTATGCTGAAGATAGTTCTTAATGACATTGGCTGTATTTTGGGGGTCGTTGTCCTCCTGCAAAATAAATTTAGGGCCATGCACATGTCCCTGATGGTATGATGGATAAGTATCTGCTTGTATTTCTCAGCATTGAGGACACCATTGATCCTGACAAAATCCCCAACTCCATTGGCAGAAATGCAGCTCTGGACTTGGAAGGAACCTCCACCATGCTTCACTGTTGCCTACAGTCACTCACTATTGTACCGCTCTCCATGCCTTCAGCAAACAAACTGCCTCCTGCAACAGCCAAATATTTCACATTTTGACTCATCAGTCCAGAACACCTGTTGCCATTTTTCTGAAACCCCCAGTCTGCTTTGAAATCTTTGCCTGCGAGAG